GGAGGAAATAACATATGGTAGCTGTTTAATAACATAATTAGTGATGTATTCTATCAAAATTGCCTCCTTAAGATCTGGAGAAAGCTGAGCTGAGCTGGTTCCTCTGCCAGAGAGAGTGAGCTCACCAAAAGGAATGAGATAGGAGTTTAAATTTCAGTGGAGCTGGGGGATTTCAGTCTGACTGTGCCTTGTTTGCTCTCTGTCACAGACTTTGCAGCAGCTCGGCTTTCTCAGGATTTGCAGAGTGGCAATTTTGTTCAAATACAGGGCTAATTAGGGGAGTGGGTGTATATGAGAGGAGCTGCATGGCAAAGGAAAGCATGTCACTAAGTCGTAAGGCAGAAAACAGCAAAGAGAATAGTGGGAAAACAGAAGATGCCAGAAGGGCAGCAGCAGTGTCCATCCGTTGGGGAAAGGAAGTCTAAAGACAATGGTTTGAGCCTGAGTGGTATTAACAGGCCCTGTAAAGCACAAAGGTGCCTCAAAGGAGAGCTTCAACCCTTGAAAAATCTGACCCTGTCAGCACAGAGAGTGACAGAATTTATGATTAACTGTGTTTTATTATCCATGTGTGGACAATTATGTGCACTCACAGCCTCGGGTGCAATCACTGGTTCCTTCGATACCTCACTGGAAGAGGAAAACCATGCAAGCTTTTGGTGGCTTAAGCTTTTACAGGGAAAGTAAGTCACAGAAGCACATGAATCTCCACTGAAAATTACTACGGGTTATTCCATAAATATAGAGCATATTTATGAGAAATGTGTGCCTAGAGATTTTCTGTGTCCAGATAGAAAACTGTGTTATCCAGCTGGGTTGCAGCTGGGATTTTCTACATAGCCCTAATTCAGTAACATCTACCTGAATCATCAGTTTTCACAGACTGATCATCTGTTGATCCATGTAACTACCAACTTTTACTGTTTCTCTCTGGCCACTTTTTACTCAAGTGCCTCGTGTTCTTACGTATTGCTTCTAGGATCTTGGTTTATAAGAGGGAAATAATGGAGATATGAATAGCCCAGCAGAGCCAGGAGGTGGTTACACTTAGTACATTGTAGAGATCAGAGCATGCTCATTTGAACAACAAATGACAGTACAATATAAGAAGTCCCACCATTTTTTTCTGAGTGACAAGAACACAAATAATTCCTGACCCCTTTTAGAGTTTCACCCAGGCAGCCACAATCTCCATCTCTTTCTCCTGAGAAACTGTTAAAGTAATTACAAATATTTACTGCATTTTATGAAGTGAGGGCAAAGTACAAAAAGTTCAGACATTCTTCCTTGTGGAGAGCAGAATAATGAAAAACAATAACATGACATTTATTAGACTGATGTGTTTTTTATCTCCTGAATTTAATGCATCCACTTGAAGTCACAGCAAAAGCTTCATTGTTACAAATTTTTAGTACATGTGAACTCTTGTATTTGGAAGATAGTTCTGAATTTAGATCCTGTGTGCTGCCAAGTTTATGCAGCTTTGTTTCTGCTCCAGAGTTACAGAGTTGTTCTGGCTTGGGAGGGCCAGGCAACAAAATTATTGCTGCAGAAAAGTGGCCCTCCTTTTTATCAGTCTGTAAAACCAGCTATCTGACAGTGTATTCAGAGAAACACGGGAGGTGCAACCCGTGACTCAGCAGCCAAGTGAGGGTAAAAAACAACCTGCTGCATTGGCTGCTCTTCTGAGGTCATCTGCAAATCCCATTAGGCCACATTTTCTACTTAAACGAGGCATTACCTGAGGCCTTATTCTTCCTTAAGGAGACAGCCCTGCTGTAATAGCATGACTCACATACAAATCCACCATTTTAAAAAAAGAAAATATGATTTAAGCTCAGCTGTGTATCTAATCAAGTACCTCAGATGCTTTACGGTGCCAAGGGTTTCACCAACACCTACAGGAAATCAATCAAAGCCTTTAGCAGAAGGGTGAGGGAGGAGTGATCCGTGTATAACCTCATTCCCGCCTTCTGAGAGCCATTGAGAGCAGCAGTACCACCACCCTCAGTGTTTCTCTGGAAAATATTAAGGGCTTGGGATGTGTTAGTGTGATGCCTGCTGCCCTCTCCCCCGCTGTGGGTGGAACAAGGCGTCATCTTGCCCTGTTTGAGCTTCCCCAGCCTCAGCAGCAGCAAGACATTTAAAGGAAGGGACCTGCCGTTTTTCTTCCCTGCTCGTTCGTTTGCAGCAAATCCCATCCCCTTTCCTGCCTCCTGCTCACAGCTCCAGCACGGAGGCAGGGACGGAGCCCAGGGGAGGCAGGGACGGAGCCCGGGGGAGGCAGGGACGGAGCCCGGGGGAGGCAGGAACGGAGCCCGGGGGAGGCAGCCGTCAGTGCCCTGCTGCCTGCATCGTGCCCCTGTAGCCCTGTGCCTCTTCCCATGCAGCCCCAGAGCTCGTCCCCTTTGGAGTGAGGGTAGAAATCCCCTGTCCGCAGTCCCTCTAAGGCCCAGGCTGAGCAGTGGCTGCCTGCCTAAGGATGTGAGCCCTGAGGAACAGCAGCGTGGGGAGAGAAGGCAGCACAAGCCCCCAGCCTTTGAACCCCCATGGACCATGCAGCCTTCCAGGCTTATTAAAGTCACTTGGCTTCCAGTATTGAACCTTGGGGTTGAAACCAAACACTGTCCTCCTCCGTGGTGAGGACTCTACATGTTTCATGAAGCCATTGGTTTCTGATGGCAAGCCTGGATGTAGTGGTTGGTTGCTTGTCCAGGCTCTAGGTCATCCTAGCAAAGTAACTTCAGGTGACATGGAGTCAAAGCAATGGCTTACTTCTTCAGTAGACTGTTCCTGTACTAATCCCCTGAGGGTACAACATGGCAATGCTGCTGAGAAAAGAGACCTGAGAAGAGATTTTTTTGCCTTGCATAACAAGGGATAAAAGAAAAGAGAAACAGATGTAAAATACTCCTGTGTCAGATCGAGGTGGGTTTTTTTTCCCCTTGCCCTTTAGCAAATCACTCCCATTCCCCAGCTGTCAGACTGGTGGACTTCAGTGCTCAGTGATACGAACTAATAGAAAGATCCCAAACATCTAATCTTGTTGCTGTATGGACTTTTTAAGAAAGCATAAAAATCAAGACTGTGGGGGATTTTACCCAATTTTGAGTATTCATCTACTGACTGTTTTACTCTTTAACACATTATGTGTTTTAATAAGAGAGAAATTGACAAGAAATAGGAATGCATCTCATTTCTATTTTTCTTTTAAGTCCTGACTGCCCCATATAGTAACAAACCAAGCTGTCAAAGCAGGGTAGCACTCGATGGGAGGGTATAGGGAGCTCTGTATGGACCCACACCTCCATCAGTAAAAAGCCTAGAACCATTCTTCACTTCTGTATCTCTTAAGAAATGTGTGCTTTAAAAACAGCTTCCCCCTAAAAAGGACAAAGGACAAACTGATGAGAGATATAGCTAGATTAGTTGCTGACTGCAAAATTCTTTGATTGTGGAAAGATCTATACAAATGCAAACATTTTTTAGATGGGGTGTGGAGACTTGGATCTCTGGAGTTCTTGTCTGAGCCTGAGGTGAGTAGTTGCCATACTGCACAGTCTGGACTTGAACAGGAGGTTGCTTAAGGTAGATCCTGGTGGGTTAGAAATGTCACTTCTAAACACAAGCTGTTCTCCCTCTTGGCACTCAATAAAAAGTCCTCTGAACACCTTAGGTTCACTGTTTATGGGTACTTTAGCATGTGCTGAACTTTGAGACAGTGAAAATGGCTGTCTTAATGCAAGGTGACTCACAGGATAGAAGTAATGCTTGAAACCAATCAGCTGTAGACTTCCTACAAGAGCTTTCATGGAAGCATGCTGAGGACACAGGCACCTTGGGCCAGGAAAACATACACCATTATGAAGGCTAAGACTGAGTGGGAGGCTCTGGAGGGCTCTGAAGACAACTGGGTGGCTGTGCACAGGCAGTGGCCAGCTGTTGCATGTGCAAGTGTGTTGGTGTGGGATGGGTAGCGGGGGTGGAGCTGCCCACCCTGCTGCCCTGGCTTCTCCTGGTCACCACTCACTGGCACTTCACTGGCACTTCCGAGGTTTGTGCAGAGTCATCAGACAGCTTCTTCTGGGGGAAATGGTATGTGAAGTTGAAATGTTTTGATACTTTCTAAATTAAGCATTTTAAATGCTCCTATCAGAGTTAACATTTTAACCCCAACATTTGCTTGATTCTGGTTTTAGAGAAGCAAAAGCTTTCTTTTTTTTTTTTTTTTCCCCTTTAAAATACTCCCAGTACTAGTTAGAATAAGTATTTTAAAACCTGTAAGAAATAAATAAACAAACATATATTGCAAACAGCTCTGGTTTGGTTTCCTGTGCCGTTGGGTAGGTTGGCATGAATGTGCACATGAATGTCCAGTCTGTAATCTGCTGCTGACCCTTCAGGTAATAGTAGAGTTAAAAAACACCACAAATGACAGCATTACTGACCATTGAACAAACTTCTCAGCATCCATAAGAGACAAAAAGAAGTCGGCTTTTCTAGGAGGGAAAATGACACATCATTCCAAGGCCAGCGATCATGAACATAATCATGAATGCCATTATCAGCACTCCTGGGCCAAGGTCTGATCCCTGACCACCTCCCTCAGCAGGGTGTTTCCAGGGCTTCCTTCCCCTGTAATAACGAAGTTACCAGCATATTTAACTGCAATACCAGAGGTGTGATTTCTGACAGTATGTTATTCTAATATTACTACCCGTTGCACTATGAGTTTTTTTTCTTCTTCTTCTTTATGTGCGCATCAAGACTTTACAATCTTGAAAGTTTTTCTCCCTTTCTCCTGAAGGCAATAGGAAGAAGGAGCAGTAACAGTCACAAATCTGGGACTCAGCAGGTGTGAAATATTTTCCTTATGGTCTAGTTAAACCTGTTAAACATTTTGTGAAGGTTTTTGATAGAACTTTGTATGATCACATTAATGATACATTGTTCCTTTCTCTATTTTTTCCTCTTTTTTTTTTTTTTTTTCCCTATTACAGTTGAAACTATAGAGGAAAAAACAGCAGACTCCTTGCAAGATTTGTACAGAGCCTTGGAGCAGGCCAGCCTGTCTCCGTTAGGAAAACACCGGATTTCCAGTAAGCTGGAGTATAAGAAATCTTTTATAAAGAGATGTAGCGATCCAGTAGTCAATGAAAAGCTGCACCAGCTGAGAATTCTGAAAAGCACTTTAAAGGTGAGATAAAAGAGGGAGGAAAAATCCTGCCCCGAGGTTGGATCAAACTGTATTATATTTGGAGATTAATTGTGCACAGCTGGAGTCCAGGCTGCACCTAGTGTGTGAAACAAGGGAGACGTGGAGAAACGAAGCAGAGAAAAATGTGCCTTGGGAGAGCTGACAAAGTGAGGGGATCAGGTTTTATTTCTGTGCAGATAAAATCTCAGTCAGGTGCTGGTCCTCTAGCTAGTTTAACAGAATTTGACACTGAATTATTTGAAGAAACCTTAATCTCTGTTTTGTCCCTGAACGTTTTCATTTACCAAAACACATTCACTCTGTAAGTGCCAAAGTCTAAAGTTAAACAAAGCCAGCTTTTGGAAGGGAGCAGTACCTTTTGCAGCACTTGATTATTTTCTGATTGTTGAGCTTGTCCAGGAGGAAGCTGTGTGTTTGCTTTCTGCGTAAGCTAATATGATCATTGTATTTAATCAGTAGGATTGATTAAATAAATAGATAGTAGTAATGATAGATTTGAAGATTTTTATGGTTATTCTAAATGTACCACAGCTCATTTAGCCTCCCTGCCAGTTTCTTTGTTTGTTGCAGCAGTTTCAATTCTGTCCTGATAGAGATTTCGGCAAACAATATGCTGGATTTCCACAGGGGCCCTGTTAACTATATTAAATTACCACATTTTAAGTCACTAGATAATTGTACAGTGGATTTTGTAACAGCTTTCATCAAAGAGGGCTCTATCAACATTAATTAATTTAGTTTTCCATCACCTAGAGAAGCATTTAAACAATGTTATTTTCATGCTGTGGAGCTCCCACCCTGTAAAAAACTGAACACATGCTTAACTTTCTGTACTGTATCATCTCATTGAAGGCAACCACTGCTTGTAGTATTATCTGAGTCTTTACAGGATTGGAAGCTGGCAGAAAAGGTTGACATACATGGGGTTTCCACATGACTTCTACAAGCATGAGAAACTGAAACAAGATCACAGTTCTCTCAGACATATCGGGATGGCAGAAGGTTCACACCGTATCTGTGCTTTTGCATCATGGCAAGACCACTCATACCGAAATTGTCATCCAGTATCAGCAGCTTGCTGCCGTGCTTAGTTGTCTTTCTTGTTAGCGTTACTGATACCTGAGCTACATGATCCCAACAGCTTCCTGTAAATCGAATTGCTTTCTTCCAAGGAATTTCAAATATAACCTGTTGACCGAGTGGCTGCCCATTTTCATGCGTCTCTGGGACTTCTTTCTTTTAGACCAAGCAAACACAATTTGTTTATTCTTTGTCCATGAGGCCTATGTTCTAAACCTGTTTTCTAAACCATTCGTGTTTGGACTTTGATTAGTATAAATATTTCTTGAAGTGGGTGACATCAATAATTGAAAGCACAATGGCAGCGAGTACAAAGACAGATAATAACTGTTTCTTGCATAGAGCAACAGTGTAGAGTGACACGTGCCTGTTTTGCAATGGTACGGTAAGTCACAACGAGTTTCTCACTCTGTTCTAGCCCAGAGCTCCACCTCTGCCATTCTACTGGTAGTCATATCTACAAGTAGCCACTGCTGTTACCTAATCAGTTATTTTTTCTTTTTATCAGTGCCTTTGATTTCTCCTTCCTGAATGCAGCCAATTGCACTGGCCTGTTGGAGTTGGTGTTCTGAACTTTCCTTGAATTTAACAGTAAACTGAGACAGCCCTCCAAATTGCTTCTAGCTCTTGTTGTCCATAGCCTCTCTGTCCCATCATCTAAGTCCTTAATGAAAGACCCCTCTGCTCTCTTTCCTGTGGCACAACACAAAACCATTCTTCTGCCAGCAAGTATGAGCTACCTGGCTGGTAAGTGCAGAAGTGTGGGTACCAGCCACAGTCTGCAAGAAGCAGGTTATAGTAGTTCAAACAGAGATATGGTAATCAGGAGTTCCCATGGTTTAATTTCCACTGGTCATTCTCAGCTTGCACCTTTGTTTCTGAAAATGAGTATTCTAGCACACAGCATTCATTAAGTGCTGCTTGCAAAGCTTTAAAAATACCTTTCAACCTACTGCTTATGGGTGACATCTCTGACCCTTCTGATCCTCTCCCATCAAAAGGGGCTGAGACAGCTTAATATTTGTCTTTAACATGCTCCCCAGGAAGATTTAACATACTAGGAACATGGACATGGAAAACCTGAGTTAGCAATGAGGAGTGTGAAACCTATCTGGCAGGGAGGATAGAGGGGAGGTTGCTGGTGACCATGTCTTTCCTATGCGGAGTAGTGCTGGAAACCTGCTGGAAATTTACATCTCCTGCCTCAGTGATGGGTAAGGAGGTACCAGCACCTATGTTAGATTTTACCCAATTCTGCCTTCTCTTTGCCACTGCAGTGGTAGGAGAAGGTTGCAGTCACCCAGCCCATTACATACACTGGATCTTTAATGAAGATGAGTTATAATTAACGTGGGGGTCCTTGCACAAGCCGTTGCACTGTAGCACTCAGATGTCCACACGCCAAGCCTGGTAAAAAAGGCTTAGCTCTGCTGGCGGGCGAGAGGCCATCTGTCTGCATCCCACTCACCCACGCAGTGCTCCTTATGCTGATCAAGAATAGCAAACAGATGGCATTTCATCATGTGAAACCCATCTTGAGAAAGGCAAGCCACTAATAGTAAACAGTACAGAGCTTTCTTTTTCTTGAGCTGAGCAAGGGGCGAGGAGGGAGAATAGGGACTGTTCCCAAGAATGCTGGACAAGGCAAGGCAAGGGAAACCCCAGCCCCACAGGGTCGTGTGTGACACCCTGTAGGAAGGGCTCCTGTTTGCAAGCATTCGTATAGCAGTCAGATAGTCTCCCTGCTTTTAGGGGCTCCGTGGCTGGAGTTTGTTCCCTCTGTTCTCTCCTTCCACCCATGTGATTGATTTTGCCAGTGACTCGTCACTTGCATTGACTCTTTGCTTGTTCCTTTTCTTTCACAGGCCAGAGAAGGAGAGGTAGCCATTATAGATAAAGTTTTGGATAATCCAGCTTTGACATCTAGCGACTTTCAAGAATGGAAACAAATGTACCTTGATCTATTCATGGACATCTGTCAAAGCAGCACCCCGAGGGACTCTGTTAATGGCTCATCGGAGGTTGACGCACTTATAGCCTCCTTGGCGCACACTCACTCCTACATTGAAACACATGTATAAAGAGCTCTCTTTTTGTCCGGTTTATACCCCTTACTTAAGTGCATAAAGTAGTTTTTATATCAATATGTGCGAGACCTAGTAAATTATATTTTATTGTTACTCAGCTGTGTGAAGTCAATGGTCAACAATGCCACGTCTTTAATGAGGATTTGTATATTTTATATGCTACCGATGTTCTGCTTGTGTTTACCTTCTGTGAAATAACAAACATTTTTTAAAAGTATTTAAAAGCATTTCTGAAAGACTGTGGCCTACATGCAGGAAGTTCCTTAAGGTAAAGGTTTTGTTATTGAAGGTCACTTTGACGATGATATTTTATATTATATAGTTCCAGTATTGTGTTGCATTTTTGGAGTGCAGGTACTATTTTGGTGGTGGGAGAAAACCAATTTTTATATTTAATGGGAAACTCCAGGAGTTTTTTTAAATAACAGGGAAAACTCTAATGCAGGGGTTGTATTTGAGTTTTGTCAAACACACAAAAGGGTGAAAATTAGCAGACAGGAGTTACTAATGTGAAGTATCAGATGGTTAGTTCTTATTTCCTTGTGGTTTTTTTAAAGCCTGTTGCTAAGGTTTACCATCAGTGCAAAAGGATGATGGTTCATATTCTAATTAAGACCAGATTCTGTGCTGTTTGTCTCTTAATCACATTTGGTTGATTTTTTTAAAAAATTGTCACGGTACTGTCATTTATGCTGATTTTGTACTGAAGGTATCAATATAATGTGCAGGTTTTGAAAAAGACAAAAGATGGACTTTGAACATCCTCGACAATGGCATTTCTCTTGCCCAGAAAAGTAGCAATGGAAAAGATTCCCAATTAAATGCTCTGAATCTGAGAGGCTTTGAAAGTTCCCGCAATAGAAAAGGAATGAATAGGATTTTTCAAGTAGTCTCCTGTGTGTTTTCTGAGCTGTGAAATTTGGCCACATTGTATGCAGGGAAAAAGTGTGATGGGAGCAGAGCTGAGCACAGAACCTGAAAAATAACTGAGGAGTAAAAAAGCCTCTGGTTTGCTTTTTAAGGGGAAGGGATGTCTCTGGGTTCTGCTGAGTTCACAAGCCAATTAAAATGCTTTACATTTCCATGAGATTTGAGATGTGCTGGAGACAACCCAGTGAATATGAGTAGAAATAGCTCCTTAGAGTTAGGCACATAACTGGAGTAGGAAAGTGGGAGGGAAATCTTAAATCATATATTTACTTTTTATGGGCTTGTTTTCCAAAAGTGATCAGAGCATGACAAAATATTTCTGCTGCTTTTCAGTGTTTTGCTGCATAAGTAAGGACTCATGACATGATTTAATAATGCTCATGTGAAAGGGAAAAGCCTGCTTTATACTTTTTGCAATGAGTTGTACTCTTCACCAACTTTAGACTATTGCCTGTACAGCTCAGTGAATGTACTTTTAACTTTATGAGCTCTGATATTTCCTGGCAGTTATATCGATGAAGGCATGAAGGAAAGAATGGAGAGATTTATTTTCTCTCTACTTGTCTTTCTTTTTATTCCTCTCTCTTTCTCTCGCTCTCTTTCTCCCCTTTTTCTCTTTTGTTTTTCTTTTCTCCCCCTCTTTCTGACTGTCTGTCTTGTTATTTTATTGCATTTGAATTGCAAATGTTTTGCAGATTTTGCACAATTGTACAGAGGAGTGGCCTTTCTGTAGCCCATTTTCAGTAATCCTGTATTCAAGTCGAGATGGATGACAAATCATGTATTAACGTTTGTATAGAACTCTGGATCCAGTGTAATATTTGTACCATTAGAAGAATATTGTTTGTATAAACTGGACATTTATTTACTGCATGGGTACTGACTTGTATATTAAATTTGTGAGGGTTTTGTAAATTTCTCATAAAAAATGCTTGATTTGAAATAGATTGTGCTACTCTTCCAAGCATTTAGATCTCTTGCTATTGTTTTACTGGACCAAAAGTAAATATATTCATAAAAAAAAAATCTTTATATCTGATGGATGTATATGCACATTGTGTAGTTGATTCCTTGTCAAAACCAAGGCAGTTCAGAAGACTTAGATCTGTTGCTATGCAACAGCTATTCTGCCTGCACTTTACATTAGTAAAGTCAGCTTGATTGCTTTAAAGGTGAAAATTAAACATTGCAGTTTTTTAAGCCAGTCTAGTGAAAAAGAACATGTGTCCTCTCCATTGTGCTGCCTTCTTTTAAGACTATTAAGTGTTCTTCTATATATATTTTTATTGTATTAACTCCCAGACTAGAAAGGGAACACTGTAAAATGAAGTACAATAAATTTAGCTTTTAAATGAACATTTTTATGACTCAAGATTCAATTTACTCCATACCAAAGTGATTCCGCAGCATCTGACCATTTTACCTGCATTTCACAGATCTGTGTGCCTTGAAGTACCTCCATAATTTGTGCCTTCAAACTCTACCAGTGCGACCAGAAAGAAGTGAGACTATAGCTGTTTCATATATAGGCAGACACTGAGTAAAGACTTCTGAAAAGCTCCAGTTGCCTCCCTCACCTTCATACAGTTTGATGAAAGTGAACTTTTTTTGACTTCAGGATTCTCTCCTGTACCAGTTCAACAACTAGGAACAATTTTGCCATTATGAGCAGGTATGATAAAGCAGTGTATGCTACTGAGGTATCGAGGCATCAGTTACAGCAACTCCTGTAAAAAGCTTCTTAGAGTCTAATAGTAAGTACACCCATTCAGCTATCGCCATCTAAACTAGCACAACATTTGGATATAAAAGAAATGTGTGTGTCTTTAATGCAAAATAAGCATCTGAAAGGCATGCTACAGCAAAGGCCACTCGGAGAGAAATGGCTTCTATCAAACAATCACTGTTTTAACTTATGGCCGTAACTGAGTCTACATATCAAAAAATCCATGCCTTTGTGCAGTAATGTCATGCTGGTTAGCTAAGACATTCTTACCTACTATGTAGGGTATCAAATAATACCTTTTCCTTGGCAGTACTTATTATTAGTTCTCTTAGGCATCAATTTTCTAGTCTTTATACAGCTCGCTTTCATTTTGCTTAGCCATAGCATAAAAACTCAATAGCACTTACCAACTGGGAAAATCACCGCTGATTAAGAAAACAGAAAAGGTGAATTCTACTTTTTAACCTTTGCAAAATCTGACTTGCAACACCTGTAATTGCTATTTAGGTATTATTCATCAAAAGTCAAGGATTACGATTCTCACTCATCGCGTCCAGACATGCTGCTTCCTTCCTCAGTGAGTTTGGCTCCAAGCTCTGTAAATGCCAGCACCTTTTCCCGTGCTGGGGGCAGACCTTCTTGCATGTTTCCACTAGACATTTGGCTTAGCAAAGCAAAATCTCCACTCTGTCAAGTTCAATGCCACTGCAGGTTTCTTCTTCTCCAGGATCGCGCTGCTGGTTTACCTCCCGACATGGTTCCTGTGCAGCACGTGAGATCAGCAGTTCAGAGGCCTCTTCCGCTGGCTGCTGCCGTCCTGCTCGTCGCCCAGTTCAGAGAGTTGCAGCACCGCGCACTGCAGCCCACACCAAGGCAAGGGGGCTTTGCAGATCTCTTCCCAGCCGTCGTTATCGATGTCATAGCCAACCACATCTTGCGTGGGGACTTCCCGTGAGTTTTGCCATTTCTTTCCCCCAATAAGAAGAGCCGTTTCTTCTACCACTGCTAGGCCATAGCAAAACCGATCATAGATGAGTGGTCTTAACCGAGTCCATTGGTTTTGATCAGGGTCATATCTTTCTATTTCAGAGAATGGTTCATAGAATCCTAAAAATGTGAATATGGCTTCTCTGATTGTTGCCATCTGATGCCCAAAGCGAGCAATGCTCATGGGGGCTTGTTTCATCCACTGCCCTTCGAGTGAGCTCAGAGAATAGACGTCCTTGCCTGTGTTGGCCAGGTCTGAGTACTTGCCACCTGAGATGTATATAGTATTCTTGCAAATGGCACTGGCATGGCCATGCATCCTGCATGGCAATTCCTGGGCCTTTGTCCATCTGTCCCTGCTGATGTTGTAGACTTCCACAGATGAATGCAGTGATCCATCCTCACCCCGTCCACCAATGGCAAAGATATCCTTGCCTAGGACACAACAAGAGAACTGGCATCTTTTTTCCAGCATGCCCGTGATTTGGGTCCACATGTTAAATCTCGGATCATAACGATGGACCTTGTTCGTAACCGATAAGATCTTTTCAGTTTTAGCACCACCCGGGGCACCGCTTTCTACTTCCCCACCCAAGACATAGAGGAAGTTTCCCACCACACACACACTGTGGTTCTGCACCCTGTCCTGCACCTGCGTGAGAGGTTGCCATTTGTGGTTGTAAACATCAAAGGCCACCACATCAGTGACGAGCCCCTCGCTTGCTGTCCCTCCCCCCAGCAGAATGATACGAGTTTTCTGGTTCCTCAGTGTGGTGGACTTATCCTGCAGGATAGGCTGTTTGAAAACAGATGTATGGTAATTTATTGCTTTAATGATCAAGCACTTAATACCAGCGGAAAGGGGCACTTCTGACTGTGTGTAGGTTTTTCTCAGCTCTTCCACTGGGATGAGACCATACCTTACATGCTCTAAAAGGCTGCTTCCATGAGCCAGCCTGGATTTATCCTGCTTCAGCCACTGCAGCACAAGGTTCAACAGGCAGGATTCTTTCAACATGGGGAGATCTGGTGATTGAACCACTGCTAGCAAAGAGCTGAAGTTCAGCTCCAGCAGTCCAGATAAATCCAAGTCCAGCAGCTTCCAGAGATTATTGACAATGTATTTTTCTGTTACTGCTAAGGCGTCCGGCAGGTAAAACTTCCTGGCCACATTGGCAGAGTAGCAGCAGTTTTCCAAGGCAAGATTGTTAACTAAATACTGATTGCATAAGTCAATAGCATCAGTCACTTGCAAGTAGCTTGCAGCTTCCAAGGTATCCTCCAAGCTTTCAAAGGAAAGGGGCAACAAAGAAGTGTAAATGAAATCCAGGACATGTTGGAGACCGGTGGG